CCACCACCAAAAAGCATGCAGTCAGCTTTTCATCAACACCATTTAAGTGTTTTGTGGCAGGACTTCTTAAAAAAGCTTCAAGGTTTTGCAGCTGAAGCTGAGTCAGGAAGCCTCTCTTAAATGAGATGTGCTTGCCTCTAGCAAGCAGAGCAAATCTTGAGAAATCGCTGCTACCAAGAAGCCATGCTTAACTCTGCTCCCAGGCTCTCTCAGGCTTTCTGTGGATGTACTTGTCCACATGTTGGGCACCATTCTGTTCCCGGTCTCATTGTGCTTCTTCATTCCTAATCTTGAAGGCTGCAGGGTCAGAAGGGCTCCATCCATCCTCCCTCAAGCAAAAGGTCTTGGAGGTACTCACTGCAGTGCCCACTCCAGTTCCTCTCAGGCTGCGCAACTTATACATTGTCCTCCAAGGACAGGATGGTTTCCTTCACCAGCCCAAGGAGCCCTCAGGGCTGGGCTACCTCTCTAGCCCTTGGCGGAAAATCTTTGGGGTTAAAGGAACGGTAGCAATCACAGGACAGGTGGCAACTGCACACAGAGGTCAGAGAACACCGGATGTCCTCTTCCCTTGAGACAGGGTCTCTCACTAAACCTGGACGCGTCCTTTTTCACTACAGATGAGCATTTCCTGAGCATGTCTGTGGGCTAAGATTTTTAGATGGAGCCACAGAAGCCACGTAATCTCCCTCACCCCACCTCAGAGAAGCTCCCAGGCTCATGGACAACACCAGCCACACTGGATGAAGACCACAGACCAGGTAGGGAAGCCATCTCGGGGCAGGAGGAAGGGCTTAGCCACACAGCCCCACAGGCAGGGCACTGATAAGGTGGGGCCTCCCCAAGTTCCACCCACAGCAAGCCCCTAAGAGCTCAGGCGCAGCAGGGGTGATAAACTGCTCTGGCGGGAAGCCAACCTTCACTTTTCTGTCTGCCTTGTGGCTCTAGGCTGAATTCACCTAGGCTGAGAATTCCTGAGCTCAGTCCCCAGCCCACCCCACTGTTCGGGAACAGACCCTGCCCTGCTCCCTCCTGCAGCGCTAGAGGTGGTACCATGACAGCCTCATTTCACAATCGTCCCAAATTCCAAGCCACTCTTCTCATACAGCTTCAGCGTTCATTCAGCGTGTCATTTTGGAGGCTCATGACCTTCTAGGCTCCAGCTTCCATTTTCCATCCGGGCCAAACACAAGTGTCCCATAAACCCTCGACAGCTCTGCTGATGGATTCATCTGCCCCCCAAACTTCTACCACTGATAAGTAGCAGCAGCACCCACATACAGCCTAGAGTCAGTCCTGGTGAGCTGATCCCCTCTCCACACTCCCTCTCAATACTTATGCATTAGCCACACTGCTCCCCCACCCCTCCCCTCCAGCTTCCATTTGAATAACACTAAATACTACAGCTGTTCCCAGACGCTTCCTGCCACTGGTCTTACCCTCCCTTCCTTGTCATCCACTTGGTCACCAGAGCAGGGTTCCAAAATACAAATCCGATCGCTAAAATTAAAAAGAAAAACCAGTATCATGCAGTGGTGGCGCACACCTTTAATCCCAGCACTCAGGATTTAAGGGAGGCAGAGGCAGGAGAGAATCTCTGAGTTTGAGGCCAGCCTAGTTTACTGGGGCAGTTCCAGGATAGCCAGGGTTACAAAGAGAAATGTAGTCTCAAAAAGCAAAAAAAAAAAAAAAAAAAAAAAAAAAAAAAAAAAACCAAAACAGCAGGTATAGTGGTGCATACCTTTAATATCAGCATTTGGAAGGCAGAGGCAAGAGGATCTTTGTGAGTTCAAGACCAGCCTGGTTTACAGAATGAGTCCCAGGACAACAACAAACAAGAGTAAAATAGTGAGACTCAGTCTTGAAGGAAAAAAGAAAATGAAAGAAAGAAGCAATAATCTCATCAGACAATTGAATGAAAAAGTAGTTTAAAAAACAAATAAAAGTGATGCATGACTTTAATCCAGTACTAAAGAGACAAGAGGCAGGAGTTTGTAGTCAGCCTGATTTACACAGCAAGACAGCAAGTTCCAGAATAGTCAGAGTTACATAGTGATAAACTGTCTTGCCTTTAAAAAAAGGGGGGTGGGGCTGGAGAGATGGCTCAGTGGTTAAGAGCACTGACTGCTCTTCCAGAGGTCATGAGTTCAATTCCCGGCAACCACATCTGTAATGAAATCTGGCGCCCTCTTCTGGCATGTGGGCATACATGGAGGCAGAATGTTGTATACATAATAAATAAATAAATCTTAAAAAAAAAAAGGGGGAAGCCGGGCGGTGGTGGCGCACGCCTGTAATCCCAGCACTCGGGAGGCAGAGGCAGGCGGATCTCTGTGAGTTCGAGACCAGCCTGGTCTACAAGAGCTAGTTCCAGGACAGGCTCCAAAACCACAGAGAAACCTTGTCTCGAAAAAACCAAAAAAAAAAAAAAAAAAGGGGGGGGTGGACTTTGGAAGCAAACAGTCAGGAAACAGCCCCTGAACCCCAAACTTCTCAGTTTCATCCTGAGAGAGCAGCGTAGTTCTCTGTGAAACGCAATGCAATTTTGCAAGACATTGCTTGGCTTGAGTTAGGCCTCTCTCAAGAAAAGAAGAACACTAAAAAGTTGCACGCAGTACCAATACGAAAATGCAGTGCCCGTTCCAAAAAAGACTAAAGGAAGCGCCAGTCATGGCTGTTCTGCTGCTGGTTACACAACCGCAGGGCAGCTTTGTGGTTCAGACCCCAAATCCCACCAAGCAGAAACGCACAACACAGGCCTGTTTGTTAACTCGAGACAAAGGGAAAACAGAGGAGCTCACAGCAAACTTCCTAGATAAATGCCAAGGAAGGGAGAGGCTGGCAAACCCAGCGATCCCCCCACTCCCGGTTTGCATTTGTTTTTATGGTGGTGGAAGGAAAGCATTTTGCCACTGAGCTACCTATCCAGCCCTGAATGAAGTCTTTCTTCCTTTTTTTCTGTTTTTTCTGTAGACCAGGCTGGCATTATACTCAGAGATCTGCCTGCCTCTGCCTCCCCAGGTATATCTTCTTCTACTACCGGCCACTTTCCCTCTTCCTGACACCTGTCCCAAGGCCCATCTGACAAATACTCCTTGAGACAAATCTATTGTCAGTGCCTCCGCTGAAGCCTGTCTGGACTGGCTGTCCCCACTGATTCCGTTTCCCTTTGCCTAACAGAAACATGTTACCACCTGCGATTCTCTTTGGCTCATAGGTCTGCCCCACTGTGGACAGGAACCATGCTGTTGCCGTCACTTTGGTAACAGGAAGACCTCACTCAACGTCTGGCCCAAAGATAGTCTATAGCACAGGGTTATCAGATGGGTAGGATACAAAAATACACATCTCGTGGGATTTTTTGGTTTTTGAGATGCTTTGTAGACCAGGCTGGCCTCGAACTCACAGAGACACGCCTGCCTCTGCCTTCCGAGTGCTGGGATTAAAGGTGTGCGCCACCACCACAGGCTTCACGAGATTTTTTTTTAAAGGCAGGGGTCACTATGTAGTCAAGTTGGATCTCATGATCCTTTCACCTCAGTCTCCCAAGGGCTGGAGTCACAGGTGTGTGGCACCACAGGCAGCTCACACTCTCGACTTTACGGTCTTAGCCTATAAAACTCTAGCGCCAATGAACATGTAGCCCAGAGTGGAGCTGTCCAAGGAACACTAACGACTACTTAGGTCAACTGCAGTCTCCATCATGTTCACGGGAGAAACAATGATAGCCCCCAAAATGCCAACCGGTGGAGAACCCACAGACTCATACAACTGAGCTTTGTCTTTTTCGAGACGGGATTTTATGGGGTCCAAGCTAGCCTCACACTTGCTATGTAGCCAAGGCTGGCCTTCAACTGAGTGCAGAGATTATGTATAGACACACACCACTATGCCCAGCAAGCTTCGTCTTGTTTCTGGGCAGCAGATTCCGTTGATTCAAGCTCTGAACATTGGATGACGTAAGCCTGCCAAGAAGTTCCTTACCTGACACAGGTCTAGGTGCCTGTCTAGATGGCTTGTTCCTGTGGTTCCCATTCCAGATGCTGACAGACACCAGGGCTACAGTCATCTCCACCACACCTGCTTCTCAGTCCTACATCTACAGCCTGAAATCATTTTGCAGGCTCCCGTCCTCTGTATCCTCAGCTGGCTATTGCTGGCACTGACCATGAACTATGCCTCCCCACTACCTAGGAAGGAAAAAAATGTGAAAAGGGGGAAATAACCAAGATGCAAGAGGCCTGGGAGAGGGGCAGCCCTTCCATCTGTTAGCGCAGCGGCTAGTATGTTTTATCCACTGCCCAGGGATAGGATGCGCTGAGCCCAGCCCACCCCTAAGGGAAACGAGGCAGGAGTGGATTCCAAGGCATAGGGGAATACCACTCCGGTCAGGGGTAGCCTGATCGCAATTTTCCCTCTTCTTTCTATTCAGCTGCCTCCCTTCTCACCTCGCAGTCTTCCCCATGACACCAGAGCATCTTCCCAATCCCCAGAGTACCACCCCACCCTCAAGGCCCTCAACACTTGTCCTATATGGTCCACAATCCATTTCTACCTTTGCTACTCTCAAGCCACAGTCTTTTCCCTCCACCAGACTACCCCGTTTTTCTCCATGTCCCATCACCTTGCTTCAGAGTCCGGCCCTAATGCCTTGTTTCCTTCCCCAGTCTACCAACCTCGGCTTCCAGGAGGTGCTTCCTGCCCTAGGCTCTTAATGCAGACCACTCCTCTCCAGCTCCCGAGACTCCGCCCCGCCCCCGCCTCTGCTGCAGCGGTCCCTATACCTTTAACAACCCTCCACGTGCGTGTTAACGGCAGTGACAGCATTTCCTTGTCTCTGCTCCCTTCCCTGGAGGCGCTTTCCATTGGCTGCTGACTTCCTCTGTTCTCGTTCTAATTGGTCTCGCTTCAGGAAACTCAAACCAATGAGTTCTCCGCTTCCGTCTCCAAGCTCTGATCCTGGACAGCTATTGGCTGTCCTGGCACCTTGGTTCCGAGAATTTAGAACTTGTTAGCTTGTCTGGGCTGCTAGCTAATTCTTCCCAGGCTAGACACCCAGGCTAAGCAATTGGTTCCGAACCCAGAGGAACCCAGGATCAGGCGAGGCCGGGTCACGTGGCCGGCTGCCTACATGACGTACGGGCTGCTGAGCGTCAGCGTGACGTTCAGGAGACCTTCGAAGTGGCCAGGCTACCTCCGTCACCTGTGCTGTCGGGGTGCTGTCATGGACCTGGGACCGATGCGCAAGAGTTACCGCGGGGACCGAGAGGTGCAGCCGCTGACGCCGGGGCACGAAAAGGGGGTGTTCCTGAGTCATCTTCCAAGGGGTTGGAGGAGCGCCTTGGGGCTTCAGGGACCACTCATGGGGCAACAGGATTTAGGGATCACTCTGATGGCAGAAGGTTGTTTCAGAGACAACTAGGGAGGAAAACGTGGGAAAAAGATGTGTCATAGGCCGTTGTGAAGGGTACTGACTTCAGAAACCACCTGGGTTGGAACCCAGCTTTTTTTCCCCCACCATATCACCTTGGGCAATTTATCCTATCTGGGCCTCAGTTTACTAATCCATAAAGTGATAATACCGACTTTACAAGGGTCTGTGGGTCTAGGGTTTTTCTAATTTTTACGTTTTTATTCATTTAGTGTGTGTGTGGTGTATAGGCCAGAGGACAGTTTTTCAAGAATTGGTTTTTTTCTTCCATCATGTAGGTCACCCAGGATTGAGCTCAAGTCATCAGGCTTGGTGGCAGATTCCTTTACTGGCTGAGCCATCTCACCAACCTGTATTCAGGCATTTGCAAAGTACCTATACAGTCCCAAAACCCTGGCCCGTGGTGGCGCACGCCTTTAATCCCAGCACGCAGACGCAGGTGGATCTCTGTGAGTCTGAGGCCAGCCTGGTCTACAAGAGCTAGTTCCAGGACAGCTGGGACAGTAACACAGAAAAACCCTGTCTCGAAAAACAAAGACAAAACAAAACAAGTCACAAAACACGGTATAAAACAAGAAAGGGGTGGAGGGTGGGTCTGTAGCTCAGTTGGTGGAGTTCTCGCCCAGTGTGTGTGCACAAAGGTTCTGGATTTTGTCCTTATAGCCAAATAAACTAGGCGTGGTGGCTCCAAAGTTCAGGGTCATCTGTCTGCTGCACAATGAGTTCAAGGCTAACATGGTAGCTTAGTTTTTACCTCCCTCAGTACCTGCTGGGTTTCCTTTTCCCTCCTTAGCTCAGGGACCAAGAGGTCAATTTTGGATGTGAGATCTAGAGCTGCATCTGCTAAGCGTGACTGTGTGTGAACATTTCCAGAAGTGCTTGTCTAAAACATAGGTCTTCGTGAAGCTTAGAGCTAACCCATGAGAAATGATGAGGTGGCCTGCGGGAACTTCGGCACTCTCAAACCCTGGTTCATCCCTTCCTGGTTAGGAGACTTAGAAACTTACTGGGTCATTTTATACCTGTTTCATCTCCTATAAATGGGCACAGAATCTACTTCCTGGTAGTACTTTTATTTCAAGGTGTTTTTGTTTGTTTGGTTTGGTTTTTCAAGACAGCGTTTCTCTGTAGCTTTGGAGCCTGTCCTGGATGGAACTCACTCTGTAGACCAGGCTGGCCTCGAACTCACAGAGATCCCCCTTTCTCTGCCTCCTGAGTACTGGGATTAAAGGCATGTGCCCCCCCCATGCCCAGTTTGTTTCAAGGTTGTTTAGAAAACTAAATGCATTTACACTTGAAAAGTACTTCAGGGGCTGGAGATATGGCTCAGTGGTTAAGAGCACTGACTGCTCTTCCAGAGGACCTGGGTTCAATTCCCAGCACCCACATGGCAGCTCACAACTGTCTGAAGATCCAGTTGCAGGGGATCTGACACCTTCACACCAATGCACATAAAATAAAGTTAAATAAAGCATAAAAATATTAAAAAAAAAAGAAAAGTACTTCATACCAGGCACACAAAAAAGCATTATGTGTTCACTAAATGAGTCAGTCTCTCTTTCTAGGCATTTGAGGAGTCTCATCTGACCTCTCTGGACCCCATGAAGCAGTTCGCTTCCTGGTTTGAGGAGGCCATTCAGTGTCCGGACATAGGGGAAGCCAATGCTATGTGTCTGGCTACCTGCACCAGGTAGGTACAGCCGTGGGCCCCTGTGTGGGTGGGTCCAGATGGCTGAGACTTAGGAAGGCCTAAACTAAGGGCACTCGACTGTATGTCTGCAGTTCTACTAAAAGAGCCCCAGCTGAGTTACCGATCTTCTCTGAGCCCCAGGAAACCAGTCCTTAGCTGGTAAACCAAAAAGCCAGATCATTAAATGCTCTTCAGCGATAAAATGCAGCTCCTTATACATCTTGATCCTTGATGTGTCTACTCACGCTCTTGACTTCCCTTATGCTCGTATCTGCCCAAGCCCTATCGCCCTTCATCTCCTGGGACTGCTTCCGAGGCCCTTTCCCTCTCCTGAAACCTGGCATAGGACTTGCCAATCAGTCCTACCCTGTGAGAAATCTGTCTGTCTGTCTCTGTTTTTTTTTTTTTTTTTTTTTTTTTTTTGGTTTTTCGAGACAGGGTTTCTCTGTGGTTTTGGAGCCTGTCCTGGAACTAGCTCTCGTAGACCAGGCTGGTCTCGACTCACAGAGATCCGCCTGCCTCTGCCTCCCGAGTGCTGGGATTAAAGGCGTGCGCCACCACCGCCCGGCTGTCTCTGGTTTTTTGAGACAGGATTTCTCTGTGTAGACCAGACTGGCCTCAGACTCAGAGATTATTTCCTCCCTCTGCCTCCCAAGTGCTGGGATCAAAGGCTTGTGCCACCATCACCAGGCGAGAGATCTCTGTTAGCCTCCTACTCAGTTGCTCTTTTCCCTTCTCACTAAAGCACCAGGCTTGGAGGCAGGGCTTTGACACCACCCTCTGGGTTATCACCCAGAGCTCTGAGCAGAGGTCCGTCCATCACTGCCACTTTTTGAGTGCTCAGTTGGCTCCACGCTTTGGTGTTGATCCTTTCTCTTCCAGTCTCACAGGAAGGTGCCATGGACTGGGTAGCTTAGGCAATAAAAGTTTACTTTTTACACTTCTGGAGGCTAGAAGTTCAAGAGCAAGTGGCTGTCAGGGATGCTGTATGCCATACATCCCTTAGGGAGACGCTGTTTGCTCCACGAGGAGCCCCAGACAGTGGAATCACACTTGTACCTCCAGCAAAATTCCCAAGGGCATTGTTTGATGGCACTGGACCCCACAGCTTGGCTTTCTGACCCCTCTCCCCCCCCCACCCCCCAGTTTGTGGCTATGTATTACACGATTGATATTTGCCTCCCTAAGGGGCGTAGCTGAAGGGGTTGCTCAGGGGTGAGAACGCTGGACTGGTTTCTGACCTGATGCTCTGCTGTGTGCCCTAGAGATGGAAAACCCTCTGCCCGCATGCTGCTGCTGAAGGGCTTTGGCAAGGATGGCTTCCGCTTCTTCACTAACTACGAGAGCCGGAAGGGAAAAGAGCTGGTGAGGGTCAGGGCTGGCAGGGCCAGCCTCCACCCTGTTTACAAGGTCTTCTTGCCACTCCCCTACTTCATCCTGTCTCTGCTCAGGCTCCCTCCTGCTTCAGGACCTTGGTACTCTGAATGAATGACCCACACCCCCCACTCCATCACCACTACCCAATCAGCTGCCATTCCTGTGGGTCTCAGCCACATGGTCCCTCATTAGGGAACCCTTCCTTGCCCAACACTGAGTCAGCCCCTGGCACATGGCACTGTTTGCCCACAGGGCACCTTGCAGCTTTACTTTGTCATTTCTTTTCAGCCTCTGATGTGCATTTGTTTATGTGGTTACACGATGGATATTTGCTCCCCAGTAATCTCTGTGGAGTAGAGCTTGCCGCTTTTTATATAATCTGTTTTGTCTCCAGCACCTGCTCTAAGGGGCGCAGGAGTTGGCGTTTCATTTGTATTTAGTCATGCCCACCTTGGGGTTCATTTCACGGCACCTCCCAAAGCTCTATGGGTGAGCTGGGTGTGGAGGCTGAGGCAGGAGGATTGGCACAGGCCACAGAGTAGGGCTCTATCTCAAAAACAACAATGAGAACAAAACAAACAATAACAAACATATCTAACGCCACAACTCTGGTGGTTGGAGAGGCCAAGCCTCACTCCGGAGTTAAGCCGGCTTAAACCCGGCTCTAGCACCGGCTGTGTGAACTTCATGTCACTCTGCCCTGAGAGCCTGTCTTCAGAACTGAAACAGGAGGCTCGCCTTTGAGAGTTTAAATGAGATGGAACAGTGAATGCATCTGTCGAAAGTCTCCTCCATCTCCTGCCTTCCTCCTCCGCGCAGGGAGCATCGCTTTCCTGTGTCAGTGGTATCTATGACTTCCCTCTTGTTTCAGGACTCGAATCCCTTTGCCTCTCTTGTCTTCTACTGGGAGCCCCTGAACAGGCAGGTGAGTGAGCATCTCCAAGACAACTTCCTGTGGACTGTGTGGGCAGGGGTCAATTTATAAACGATTGCAGGGAGGGTCCCCAGACCAGGCACATTATTCTGCCTCTCACGCACTCTCAGACGGTCTGGTTGGAGCTGAGTGGTGGGGCAGCAGATAGAGAAAACAGCAACAGGGCGTGTACCGGTGAGAGGGATTGGTAGGACCCAGCATCGCCTAGCCAGGGTCATCCACATGCAGGTACGTGTGGAGGGCCCTGTGAAGAAGCTGCCTGAGAAGGACGCCGAGAACTACTTCCATTCCCGCCCCAAGAGCAGCCAGATTGGGGCTGTGGTCAGTCGGCAAAGTTCTGTGATCCCCGATCGGGAGGTGAGTGGGGTTTCAGCATGATCCTCTTGATTCCTGAGGCTCTGGGCACATCCTCAGGGACTGTCTCCAGGAGATGCCAGGGCCCTGTCAATCTAGCAGAGAGAAAAAGACGATGCTGTCCCTGGGGAGAAGAGTGGGAAGACTGAAAACAGGCCTCCTCTGTCTGGCTCTCCTGTTGACCACTGCCCCAGAACCCCTCGCTCCCCTCTGTCTCCCGTACCTGGCCGGGGTCCTGCCCCAGAACCTATGTTCATAAGTCCTTAAGTGGATCATCACCCATGCCTGGCTCCTACTCTGTCTTCCCTGAACAGTACCTGAGAAAGAAAAATGAGGAATTGGGGCAGCTCTACCAGGAACAAGAGGTGCCTAAGCCGGAATACTGGTAATTGACACCTGTCCTGATGGACATCCAAAAGGGACACGGTGGTGGGGCAGGGGGGTGGGGGTTGGGCAGATCTCCTTCTCTGGGAAACCCTCGCCAGCTCATCCCAGGAGCTTCCTGCAAGAGAGTTTAGGATGAGAGAGGAGGCGGGCACAATAAAACTCTGCTTCTCCCGTAGGGGTGGCTACATCCTGTACCCCCAGGTGATAGAGTTCTGGCAAGGCCAAACCAACCGCCTGCATGACCGCATTGTCTTCCGGCGAGGCCTGACAGCAGGAGATGCCCCCTTGGGACCCATGACCCACCACGGGGAAGAAGACTGGGTGTATGAGAGACTTGCACCGTGACTCGGGACTCAGAATGTTGGGGAATCGTCTGAAATCAGCTGAAAGAGAGTGGGGGAGAGCTGCTAAGAGGGCGAAGGACTGGGAGCCAGGTCTACATTTCTCTCTGTTTTGGGGGGCGCTTGGGCTTAAACCCTAGGACCTTGCTCATTCTAGGTAACACTACCGCTGAGCTATAGTCCCAATATTTTTTTCTTAACCTTTTATTTGGAGACTAAGTCGCCTCGGCTGGCCTTGAACTCACTGTGTGTGTACCCCAGTCAAGTCTTGGCCTTAAGTTCCTCTTGCCGCAGTCTTTTGAGGAGCAGTGATTACAGGCCAGTGCCACCAGGCCCAGCTCTAGTCCTTGTTTTTAAACTAAGTCCATTTCCCTTCCTATCCATCCTTTATGTCAAAAGTCTCTCTAGGACTCGAACTCCTGAGCTCCTTCGAACTCAGCCGGAGCAGAGAGTGATCCTGTCATAGAGAGTCACGAATGGCAAAGAATCTCATAATTATCTCCCTTGGCTTTGTTTGTGGGTTTTGGAAAAGCCCATCGAGGGGGCAGCAGCTGGTATGACTCCGTTTCCAGCAACAGAATCATCAGGCTGCCAACGTGCATGGCTCACTGACCACAGAAAGGAGACTGGGCCAATCCGTGTTTTCTGTGGCTCAGCCAGGATCAGAGAACTACGATTTGTTCTGGCTGGCCATGAACTTGTTACTCTGGACGCTGTACTTCTTTTGACGTTTATGGGTGTGTGCGTCAGCCTCTGTCACTGACAAGGGTTCCTCTTCTGCGTTGATCCCCCTACTTAAACCTGGGTCCAGAAGGACATTGACCCTGTGGCTGCCCACCAGGTACCCTCCCCTCCCTCACCCCTTTTGCTGTTGTGCCGTGAACTGTGACTTTGTTAGTACGTGCACATGAGTTGTTGCAGAGAACACCTTGCTGTACCCCACCTCTTTTAGGGGGTTGTATATGTCCCCAGTTTTTAGCCTGATCTCAGCTGTCATTTCCAACATGCAAGTGTATAATAAAAACTTGTCGGCCGTGCGTGACATTAATGCTTGACCTGACATTTTTTTAATTAATTAATTTATTTATTTATTAAAGATTTCTGTCTCTTCCCCGCCACCGCCTCCCATTTACCTCCCCCTCCCCCAATCAAGTCCCCCTCCCTCATCAGCTCAAAGAGCAATCAGGGTTCCCTGCCTTTTGTCGGTCCCAGGAGGAGGTACCTCAGCAGACAGGAAAGCTGGGGAGCAAATGGATGTACAAGACTTTCCTCCCTCCTAGCTTCTGGCCAGACAGATTGGGTCCAGCAGGGGGAGCCCACTGGCTAGAGTTGACCCTTACTGGGCAGTGGAGGCCAGTTCCAGGCGGCCTCTTCTTCCTCCCCCTTCCTCCGCTTGGGTGGCTTCCCAGTGAAACTGTGGTTGATAACCATGGCCTCTCCCGGGTGCTGCACGTGTTTGCACTCTCGGTTCCTCCTCCTCCTCCTCCTCCTCCTCTTCCTCCTCCTCCTAACAGCTCCTGCAAGCTTGCAGCTGCCTTGCTTGGGACTCCCTGGGGCAGCTGGGTCTCTGGAGCCAACCAGGCCTTCAGCTTAGGGTGACATGTACTGTCTCCTTGGAGGATTCCTGCAGAGATCATTCTAGGGCATGTGAAACACAGAGACCCCATGGAAGGAAGTTCAGCAGTAGCATGTTTGTCTAGCATGTGTACATTCAATCCTCAGCATTGTGTCTGGCAGAGAGGAGGGGGCATAAACCAAGTTCATGCCTCTAATCCCAGTTCTTGGGAGGCTAGGACAGGAGGATTGTAATGAGTTTGAGGTCAGCCTGGGCTGCATAGTGAGTTCCAAGCCAACTTGGGCTGCACTGTGAGCGCCTGTCTCTAAAAAGCAAAACCAAACACGAGTCTATACCCAGTACTCATCTTCATTTCCTGTCTGGAATTAGGTACTCCCTTCAGGATGGCTCTTAGAGGCTACCCGGACTCTAGGCTCACGGGTTGACTCTCCCATGGGTTCCAGAGCTTTTACATTCCCCTTGGCGGCTGTCACCTCCCAGTGGCCTAAGACCTAAACGCTGTCCTGTCTCATCTCCCATGGCATTCTGCAGAGGGCAGCTGTTCCTGCCCCTGCCACCCCAGCACACAATTAGAAGAGGTTCAAGAATGGAAGGTGCTGGGGTGTGGGGCATCATGGGTCACACAGACAGACCAGCTCTCCCTTTAACCAAGTGCCTGGCCAAGGGCTGGTAGCTTAACTAACCTCTCTCACCCTCCGATAACTCCATCAGAAAATGGAGCTGACAGCAGTACCCGTCTACATGATGGGGGCAGGGAGGACTAGGGAGACAGCCTGCTATGAGCAGTGTGTGTGGTAAGCTAACAGCAAGGTTGCAAGGTTGGAGGGCATCTCAGCTCTTTGTGGGAGACTTTATGAATTGAGTAACAGACCTAGAAAGTTCTGGGAAGAAGGGGGGTACAAAAGGCTGAGGTAAAGGCAGGGCCCCTCAGTCTATTTTCTGTTCAGCTCCTGCTCTGCCTCCCTTATCCCCTGAGTTCCCCTGGCCTGGGCGAGGCACCTGACAAAGGTCTCCTTGTATAGGTCTGTTTGTTTTGGCAATAGACTTCCTCAGCAACAGCTCCCTAGGGTGGGGTGGCCCTGCAGACTTTGAGGCACTGACCTCGAAGCTGTTGAACCACATAGCTGAGTGGCCACCTTGGTCTTTCCCACCGTGAGCTCCAGGGATTTGACTGATTTTTTTTTTCTTTAGTTCTCAGGTCCCGTGGCTTGGGTAAGAACCAGACTTGACATGACAGGGTGAGAACTCTCCCCTGCTTCTTTAACTAAAGCAGTGGGGATGGTGGCATTCTGTAAGAGAAGGAAGAGGAAGGAAACCACCTGAGACTCTGAGGAGGCTTTGTCGCATTTCCTGAGATGGGGCCTTCCAGTATAACCCAGGCTGACCTTTGAACTGCAATCCCCCTGCCTCAGCAAGAGTTGAGATTTGCCCTCACACCTGGCTTTACAGATAAGTCTCTCTATAAAATGTCCCCAGACTCAGCAGGCTACTCGGTGGCACCAGAATTTAAACCTTGGTCCCAAGCTGAACCACTGAGAACTACAGAGTCTTGGGGCTGGTTGCTGAAGTTCAAACCCACTCTCTTAGAGCCCCCACAACTTCTCGTTGTCCAGGGGGTGTCTGTCTCCTTCCTTTCTCCCCTGGCATATGAAGCCTAGCTTGATGGTGGAATTACTGACACAGCTTCTACACTGTCACACTTGGGGTCCCTTCCTGAAGTTTGAAGAGCCCACATGAAAGTAGGGACGTGGCCATCCCCAGACACGTGAGATAAAAGCATAGATACCTCTGGTTTCTCAGCACTGTTTATTACTAGGTAAAGCCTACCACGACTTTTCCAACAAAATTCAAGGCTCCAGGATTGAGTTCTGGGGCGGATCCATCTTAAATACTATCGGGGAAGGAGTAGAGGAAACCCATCCATTCCTCTAGTTTGGACCCTTGGACCAGTGAGGCTTCTCTTTCGGGGTAGTTAATTCAGCACCCACACACGTGCTGGTCAAGGCAATAACTCGGGGATTTTTTCTGATTTGGCCTTCTGTAGCACCCCAGGGAGTGCTGCTCCACTCTGAGGAGCGAAGTTCCAGGAGGTTTACTCCTTGAATTCAGAGGTGATCTCAAGTTCAACAGCTCCGCCTCTGGCACCAAGGAAACCTCTTATCACGTGACTTCTGGAAACTCTGCTCTTCTAGGATTGGTCCGGGGGGGAACAAGTCACAGGTAGAGAAAGTAGAGGGAGCGGCGATCCAAACTCACCCCTGACCCTGTGCCCAGGGAGGGGGTGGAGTCTGCCAGGCTCCCTGTCTACTCTCTGCCTTGCCGCCTCCCTGTGAGCCAAGCTGCTTTGCCAAGGACAGCTGTACTTGTAGGCGGCCATTTTTCATCCTAGACCGGAGTGCCTTTGTTTGTGATCACGGGGAGCAGGGCCTTGGGATCTCCCAGGCCCTTCGTAAATCTGGGGCACATAAATACAAACCTAAGAACCAGGTGCTCCTGCCAGCAGGTATCACCTGCCACCATGGCATCAGCTATGACCAAAGAGGCCAGCGTGGCAAGCTCCTGCCTCAGACCCCACCAGTGGCAGGGGGCAGGGAGGCGCTAGTGTCCTCCTCGGCTGCCTTCATTGTCCTTTGTCCTCCCTGTCGTCAAAGAGGTTGGGGTTCTCTGCCAACATGGCCCGGACTTTCTTCTTTTCCTTAAAGCGGCCTGAGTTGGAGACTTTGACGTGCTTGCCTTTGGTGTTCTTGTCCACAATCTTCTCCAGGCGGGTGTTAAAGTCGCTGTGAGGACTTCCGGCGTCAGGGCTCGGGGGCTCCGCACCTCCCTCCGTTTGGGCGTAGGAGTCAGGGATTTCATAGAGCACTTTGGGCGTGGACTTCTTCTTCCGGAGGAAAGTCAGCTTCCACCAACCGACTTCAGTCATGGCGGTCCCGGGGCCCAGGCAGGGTTTTCTGCAGGACCAAGCAGGAGAGACAAAGGTCACTGGATGGAGGGGATGGGCACTTGGACTAGGGTTCATACACAGTTATTGGCTGTCAAGAACTGTCAGGTGTTCTGGTTAATGCCTAGAACTGTAGCACAGAGGCTGAGCTGGAAGGGCTGGAAATTGGAGGCCAACCTGGGCTACATAGTGAGGCCCTGACTCAAAAAAAAAAAAAAAGAAAGAAAGAAAGAATTGAAGGGTTGAAGGTAGGACTGAAGGGTTGGGAAAAGAGCCTCCAGGGCCGCCATCAATGGGAAAGACACTGAGCCAGGCGATGGGACAGAGGGACAACCCTACCCCACCGCCTCACAAAGCTGTGGAGAGAGCTCTGAGGTCCTTCCTTCCAAGCCTTCAGGCTACAGGCTAGGGAAACCCCTTACCTAGACACGCATATCTTGGTCTGTGGCACCATGACCAAGTCCTTCCCACCCTGCCCAGTGTTGGCAGACCACTGACAGGCCACGCTTGCAGAAACACCCTGTGATTTGCTTGGAACTCAGGACAAAATTAAATAGAATTTGTGATAGTTCTAGCCGTTTGTCATTCCCAACAGTGACGAGCATACGCCTTTCCTGAGGAGAAGCCCGGGAGCCGCAGTCTTGAGAAGATCTGACTTCGACCAAGTTACTTCTCTGGGCCTCAGGGTCCTTATCTGTCCCATCCAGGCCTAACACTCAGCCCCACCATGACGGCCTGTCTATATGGTTACATCAGCTTTACGGAGTAAAACTCAGGAGACGGAGTAATCATTAGCAGACTGTTCTTTTCCCCAGCAAGCTGCCACAGGACGGGTGTTTGAAGGAGAGTTAAAAATTTGCAAGGCAGTCAGCTGGAGCCTGGGAGGTGCCATGATCACGGGCTGTTCTGTACGGACCCATCTATAAGGGTCTTGGGTGGGATTTGGGTTGAAATCCGAGCTTCACAGCTCGCAAGCTGTGTGCCCTGACACGGAGCCGCCTCTGCCCAGACCTGACCTTTTATTAATTTCCACAAAGATGCATATGAGCTAGAGGAAGGCCTGGGAATGAAGCTCTCTGGCCATGGCTGATGCTTGCAGTCTGGAGGGGACAGAAGCCTGGAGGAATTAAATTTTATGAGGGAGCTGAACGACGTAGTCAAGATCATCTCTGGGCCCAGAGAGGCTGGAGGTCTGGTCTTATGACCCTGGGCATAGACTGGAAGAATCCTGGGGAAGCAGGGGGCAGAAGCTAACAGACGCCAGGAAGAGAGATGGCCAGGCGGCCCAGACCTGCGTTTGTCACCTCCCTTAAAGCCGACGGAGGGACTTGTGAGATGGGCCGCAGGCAATGCACCTGCCACCAAACCTGATGACCTGAGTTCCACCTCTAGGGCCTACGTGGTAGAAGAAGAAAATTGATGCTCAGAAGTCCACTGACTTCCAAAAATGAACCATGGCATACCCTCCTTATGTACACCCAAAATAGTTTTTTGTTTTTGTTTTTCAAGACAGGGTTTCTCTGTG